AAAAATAAAGAAGGAATAAATTCTAAACCTCCAGCTGCTGTGGTACCATCTTGAAGTCAAAGGCAGGGTTGCAACTTTTTTTTTCCTGTGCAATTTAGCATCAAAAGCCAAAAGGAACAATCTTGATGTTTTTTTGGCCCAACTTGGGAAATACTTAAGAATTGGGTTTTTTTGATCAAAAGGCGAGCACTTAGAATTGCGGCCACAAAGGTGTCATGTTACCCTCTGAGCTCTGTTTGACTTCATACTTTTTGAATGTGAGAACTCGGGAAGTAGAAGTGGCAGGGAAGAAAACAAGGAGGGGTTTGCACAAGGCACGCACAAAGTATTTTTCTGTTTGTTCCATCTGTCTGGAAAGTCTGGGTGCTTCCAACCTTGTGGGACTCTGCACACTCTTCTGTGGTGTGTTCATTTGTTTTGGCGTTCCAGTTTTACTGAAATATGAACCAGGAAATCTTGGAAGCTCTTTGCGGGCTGCCAGATTCAGAAGAGCTGGCTTTCTTCTCGGTTGTTGAAATGAAATATACAGTGCGCACCAGCCTAATAACTTGCAAAATCGCTTTCCTTGCCATGACTGGAGTAAATTACAGCTTCTCTCGCAGTAAATCGACACCGAGCCCACTTTAACTAGTCTCATGAAGAAGCCACGAGCGCAGAAGTCCTCTTCGCTGTTCCATGTGTATGTAGGTCTTCTGCTCTCCTGCTTGATCACATGTCAACTTGCATACGATTCTGACGTCTCAAAGCTGCTTCTGAGAAGCCAGGTTCATTCAGGGAAATGTGAGTTCTGGCATATATTGGTCTTTTAGATCTAAAGCTGAGAATGGATGACGACCACAACCACTTAGGCTGAACAGAATTTATAAGATGGATTTCCTTCTATGGGAAGTACAGTAGCATTAGGGTGACTGCTTCACATTGACCGGCAGGGTCAATGTTGCGTTGCAAATCTGTTTTGACTTGTTGAAACCGGCAGGGTATACTGTGAAGTTTGATCCTTTTATGGGTTCAGTGTTGTTGTTTAAAGGACACAGTTCTGTAGGGACATTCTGTGAAAAGTGAAGACATCTGTAAATAGTTATTGTAATAGGACCAATGGAAGAAAAGATCCACCACTCTTAAAAATACTGTTGTTAAGGGTTTAGGGTTTGTAGTTAAAGTAAGAGAGAGAGAGAGAGGGAGAGAGAGAATTGAGTTCATATTTGTTAAAAATGGAAAATGTTTTGTTTCTGACTGATCAAACGCAAGGTAAAAGGGTCATCCGTTGGCAAGACTGAAAACAGCACAGACATACAAAGGTGCAAAACCTCTTATGACCTGAACTATGAAATATGTAATCTGAGATTTTGAAACAAATAACAGATACAGTACTCCTTTGAGTCTTTCCTGCCACGATTCCAAGTGAATTTTAGGAATTGTAATGTAGGTAAAAATAAAACAGGGGAGAGGAATGCCGGTCATCCGGAGATGGCTCTCCCTGTCATGGTGATCCAGAGAGGGGACATGCATTTGCTCTCCTACTGGCTGAAGAAGTATTTTTTTTAAATCCAGGAAAGCTCACACTAAAAGAAATCTGTTAAGTCTTGAAAGTGTTGCATTATGATGCCTTTTTCTTTCTCTCAAAATCCCGCTCCTCCTGCATTATTTTTGCCTGCATGCTCATATGGACGAACCCAGTTCTCTGGGAATTAAGACTCACAGGGAAGTTAGGTCTTCGTCCTGTGCCCATATTTCCAGGTAAAACAAGACTGGGCTAGCCCGGGTACCTACTGAAACCAATTGCGGAAATGTTGCCATGCTGACCGGAGGATTCTGGGAGCCGAATCCAAAAAGAGGGAGTTTTCCCAAGCTCTAGTCCAGCCCCATGGCTTGCTCATAGAACTTGGTAGGCAGGCAATAGTGGGCCGTATGCGGGAGGTGCCGGAAATAAGGCCACACAACAGGACTGACAGCTGAACTCAGGCACTCAGGCTTCTTGTCTGTCCAGGACCCGGCGGCTCCTAATCTCAAAAAGGAGGGCAAGACCTGAATGGGCTTCGCAGCAAAAGGGCAGAGAATCTGGATGTGAGGGCAGACCTTAGGAAGGCTGCAGCCCATGCATGGGCTTTTCCTTGTAGGGCTCAGCCCATATGACCTTCCAGAATGACAAGGCATGCCCTCTGTGGGTCAATGCTCCTTATCCTTGGTCCTCTGACGTCTCGCTCCACTCAGATAGGATAGATCATCCAGAATCTACAGTGTGGGGAGGGGGGAAGAGAGAAGGATCCTTTCCTGCTCTTTTTATCATTGATTTTTATTTTACTTTTAATTTAATTATTGTTGGTTTATTGTCATCCTTACTGTTTGAGTTATTGAATGTTGAATAGTGTCTGGCACTCATGGGGCGGCATAAAAATATATATATGAAAGACAGACAGACAGGTGGACTTACTAAGAGCCGCCAATGGGGCCTGGTTCTGCCAGTGATTTCCTTGCTTTGATATTGCCTGGGCTCAAGAACTCTGCAGCAGGTACTGTGAGAATTTTATCTGCCATCCCTGGAATTCTAAAATTCCTGATCCAGATGCCTGCTGATTGGAACCACGTTCCAGTTTTCAGTGCAAAGCAAGGAAGGAAGGAAGCAAGCAAGTTTCTTGGGTTTATTTATTTTATTTATTTATTTATTCGATTTTTACCCCACCCCTTTAGACAACATCTACTCATTCCTCTGGCCGCTGGACTAATATGACATATGACCACATGGAATCCTCAGAATGCCGGACAAGCCAAGCCTGTGCTCCTTTTATGAAAGTACAGATGCTTTCCAATTGAGAGACGATGCTCCTGTAAAGAGGAGCTAGCTGAGTGGTAGGGCCTAAGACAGAAAGGAGGTGTCTCTCTGGAGTGGTGGCTCCAGAACTGACTTGAAGCGGACAGCTTTGCTTCTTATCTCTAGGTCATTCCTGCTTGCAGGAGCATCATCTCTCAATTGGAAAGCATCTGCTCTTTCACAAAAGGAGCACAGGCTTGGCTTGTCCGGCATTCTGAGGATTCCATGTGGTCATAAGCCGTATTAGTCCAGCGGCCAGAGGAACCCAAGAAACATGGTAGAGTGTCTCCAGAGGGAGGGCTTTGAAGG